ACTTTGAGCCTGCTTCAGTAACTAGGCCTGGAGCTTAATGAGATACTAAAGAAAACTGGTACTGGATGAACGCTAGATTGAAAACTGCAGTAGCTCAGCACCTGCTTCACCAACAGCTCAAATCATTTGTGACAGAATGAGAACCTCAAAAACAAAAACGCTCACAATTCAGGTCTACAGCTCTTGAGAAGCTGGGGACTGCCTTGTACCAAATCTCTTGGCTTTTCAGGGCTCGTCACAACAGTGGTATCATGCACCAGGTTCTGTATTTTGTCTTGTAGCATACGTATTAAGTTAGGGCCCTTCATACTAAAACAGCTCACCAGTAACAACAGGGGTTTTCGTGAACCAAGCCATCATGCTTTTTGTTAAAATCCAATATCTAATATGTTTGGAGAAAAAAATAATAAAGCTGCAAACATGCCAGGTTTCCTTTTGATAGAACTTGGCAGAGAACAGGAATAGAGGAAGGATGTATTGCATTAGATACAGTTATCAAAATGCAGAATCTGGCAGAAACATGCATTTTTTTTTGTTTGTATTGGTGCTGCTGTTGAAAGTTCTTTAAAAGCCCCCCCTCCCATCCCTTCCAAATTGTCCTATACTATACCAGTCTGTCTCAAAAAGACTCTTAAGTAGAGGCAGGAAGAACTGCAAACTGAGAGTTTACTCATTTTTAAACACTTACTTAAAACCAGTAATCCTCACATTCCTCCAAAGCCAGGTGCTTAACACTCTACTCCTATTAATCTCTAAGGGAGAGGAGGGACTCAGGCCAGCATTGCTTTCACTGCTCTTATACGGAACCTGTGTTTTACAGTTAAAACACCTGGAACTCAAAGATGCATTTTAAATTATCACAGAAAAGGCAAACTTAAGTATTACAAAAAGGGCAAGATAATATTTGCTATGGGATCCCTGCTTCCTCTACACCTCAGTATCTTACTGAATCATGAAAACAAAACTAGGTTTATGTTATTTGATTTTGGGACTAGAGATCATTTTTCTTGCCAAGTGTCAAGCAGGACCTTAAAAACACGTTTGCAAGCAAAGCATTAATATCTTTAAGCCAGAACCTAAAGGACCACACTCACATGGCCACAGGTCATTTGAGTCTCTGTCCATACCCAGGCCTGAGGTTGCAGATCATTCCAACATTTCCAACCACTCAAGCTTATAACTAAAAAACGTCCACAGCATCTTGGCAGGCAGGCTTCACTTTTTTAAATAATGATCAGCTAGCCCCCTTGTTAAGAGATCTCAAGTCACCCTCAGATTTTAATCCTAATGAATTGGTCTAAGTTGATCAAGCAGGGGACTATTGCCAAAAGAGGAAGAATCGCCCTCCTCCTTCCAACCACATTCCCATGCCCTCCTTGTGCCAGCTCTGGCATTTGTGCGCTGAAAGTCATTTTTAAGAGTTTTCGGTTGGATCAGCAAGCTGATCCAACACATGCACTGCCCACACAAATGCTAATGCCAACGCAAGGGAAACAGGAGGAACAAGACACTACCCCTTCCGGCGAGTCACACAGTCTGAGATCAGCTGAAGCCAATTTCATAACCACACGAGCACGGAGCAGTTTTTTATTTTAGCCAGTTTAACTGAGCTGCTACTGAAAGGGACAGTTCTGTCTCCTCTCAGGTGTCAGATACAGTGACATTCCAGGCAAATCAATTAAGCAGACCAATCTGACATTAAGAAAAAAAGTAGGTGAATGGTAAAGAGTTAATTTTCCATCAGAGGAGCCAGTTGAACTGACTTACCTGTGCCTGCAATGTGATCTGTTACAAGCCAGAGGTGGACATAAAAATCATGCCTTTTGGCTTCAGCTTACACCAAATGTTTTTTCATGGGGGACAGGGAAGGGGGAAGAGAACAGGAGAATCCTGAATTTCCAGCAGAATCCTGAATTACACAGCGGGAATTAAGCAGGATTTTTATAATCGTTTTGTACTCGGTTTCCAATGCCAGAAAAATAGCATTTATTTACAGTGAAAGAGAACCTTTGACATCAGAGAGAAAAAATACTAGCTAACAGAAATTGGAGTTGACAGAAAATCCATAAAATGCCAGTTTCCTGCTATAGCCTGAATACATCTACTAGCACATTAGCTCAATGCTAGCTTCTTGCTCGTTCCAGTGCACACGGACCTAGTGTTCATTAACAAAAAGGTAAAATCTAGTGACAGACAGGAACATAACTGCATTGATTTATTCCGGATTTAAACGCTAAAGTGTACTGCTTACAAAAGTGGCACCCTAGAACAGCGCCAGGTTTCTCCCTCCACCACAGGCTTTGCATTTAGACAAAGCCCAAGCTTGCTACCAGAAAATAAAATGCAAAGCATCCTGGAAGTCTTATACCCAGAGTAGTTAAACAGAGGTCAAGGAATACAACTCATTTTTGCAGTGGTAGTTTCGCAGCAGCTTAGCTTTGTGAACTAGCTCCTTGTGGGATCAGATGACAGCCACAAGGCGAGGGACAGAACTGGAGCAGCGGTGATTAAGATCAGCTTGAACTATCCTGAAAGTGAACGCTAAGTGCCAGTACTTCATAACCCTTGGCAAGATCTAGTCAATTAGCTTTGTTTCACGAAGCTTGAGCACTTGATAAAATATCCCAGCATACACGCAACAGCACCTTATACGCAAACTGTAAAGGAATAAAAAAATGCAGGAACTGGGTACTACTTCCAAACCATCAAACTTGCAGCGGCCCATTTCTTCTGTTAAAGGAAATTTACTTTCAGGACAGATTAGAAATCTAGCAAGCTATTGGTTGCTTTACTGTCCCAAACCACACTAGACTACTGCTACTTCCATTAACTTCACTGAGAGAGCATTACTCCCGAGCAAGCTAGAGCAAGTGTTGATGAGAGTAGAGTCTCTTCAGAAACAAAGATAAACACACACCTCACACTGTTTGCAAAAGAATATAGCCTAAACATTTACATCTGAGATAACACAAAACAAAACAGACACAAACATACTCGAAGTTCTTTCCCGAAGAAGGAATTTTAACTTGCACATTTTCCAATAATCCCTTTTAAGGCATCTAAAGATGATCATTATTCTCAGCAGTTTGCCATCCCACGGGGAAAGAATTATGTGCATATTAAAGTCATAACTGCAGGTCTCCCTAACACACTGTAGTAGCAGCATAAACACCATTGCAGCAACCTAACACTTGCAGATTCTTGCCTTCTCCCTTTCCCAGGAATTGTTCTGATACTACGAACTAATGAGAAGGAACTGGTGGAGTGAAAGCAAAAAAGCGATCTTCTGTTAAAATACCAATGCTCAAGTCCCTTCAGAAGGCACTATAAACATAAAAATGCCATGTCTGCACAGTCAGAAGAGAACAGAAAGCCTATGAAAAAAGATACTTAAATAGAAGTTGAGAGTGTCTCATGCCAAGAAACAAAAGGACTAAGGATATTTATACCATTTAGCTGCTCATTTTAACTTTAGAATTTCATGAGAAATGGTTATACAGCCTATATATTTTAAAGGCAGATTGTGAAAAATACATACATAAAATAAGCTTCTGAAAAAAAAAAAAAAAAAAGGGCCACACACACACACAGGAGGCCTATAATAAGCTTCTGTGCTTTCTTTAGACTCCAGAAGTGCTGAAGAAATTATTCAATGAGTCTTTAGAAACTCCGCTCACTTGGCATCCGAACAGTTGTGCAGTGTGTTGGAGACCAGAGAATGTTTTCTTTTGTTGCTCTGAGTGTGCAAGACACATATCTTTCCTCTAAGGAAACATCATTCCACATTTTCCAAGTTGTCTTAATTTTTCATTTAAGTTACTTGCCCCAATAGCATAGACGTATACGTTCTACTGCCTGCTTTACCATAGCTGTTTCTGTTAACATCAATGACAGTGTCCAAACAAGCATTTTTATTTTCACTTAAATTAGGGATTTAAGTGGCATTGCATCAAAATCACATATCTCTGAATTATAAAACTGCCTAAAGTCAGAGTGGGAAAAATCCTAACTATTATGTGAAAAAAAAATGAAATTTGTTACAGTTCAGCTAATGAACGACATCTTGAACCCAGAATAAAGGAACAGTCCCTTGGTCTGTCCTGAGGAGAACTCACTTCCCAGCAAGCTATCAGATAACCAGCTCCCTTTCCCAGCAGCCCAATAATAAAGTTGGCCTCTTGGTTTCAGAAGGCCTCTGGGAAAAAAAAGGTTGCTTTCTGCCAGAAAACCATCCCCAACCCTTCTCCTTTGCACAATTCTTTAATTACTCAGGGAGATCTCTGTTCTTCTGGGATACCTCAATTAGCGTGACCCAGAATCCCTCTAGACAACAGGCAGGTTTTTCTCCTTCCCCCGCCTCAAAAGAAATTCAATCCTTCCAGTACCCAAAGTGCTTTAGTCTGCACTGAAAGGGAGACACATGCAGAAAGGTATGAAGGGAGGCGACATTACAGTGGAGCAAGATAAAAAGTGGGAGAACAAGCAGCAGCGGAGGAAAAGAAGTTTAGGAGAACTTAAACAGGACCGATGAAAAACAGGATGCAGAAACTGCAGAACACGAAGGCTAGAAACATCCATGTTTTAGTTCTCCTTTCAAGCTGGTTAAGAAATTAGGCCAAAAGCCTGCGCAAGAAACTCATACTTAAACTATTACAATAAATTACAATTGGATTTAGAAACTCATTCAGTTAAGTAGACGCAATTATTCAGAAAGAAGACCCCTGTAATCAGGCTCTGCTAAGATCCTTCAGAAAACACACAGGGCAGCAAGACAGCCCTCTTTTGCATCTTTGCTGTGTAAAATTCCCACAAAAATTCATGAACTTGCTCCACTTATACTGTTATTTAAATACGATACAAACGAGCAGCCCTGATACAGCATGCTGTGTGGAAGTTTTAGAGGGCTTTAAAAATTGATTAAAGTAGTAACATGAAGCAGAAACCAAGAAGAAACTGTTGTTATGTCAAAACCGTGGCCCACATAGCAAGGATTAACTTACAGCGGTGCGCTAGCTCCTGGCACCTCTCGCGCGCTGAACTCCCGCTCTGCTCCACCACTCTGCTGACCCACAGCGCGGAAAGGGGTAACGTCAACACGGAAACCCAGAGACGCTTGCCTGAAGACGCTGCGTTTCATCGCCATTGTGGAACAAGCAAGAAGCCTATGGCAGCACTGAAGTACCTGTGCTGACAACCCACTCCTTATCTTCACGGTGACAGAAGATAAATTGGTACCGAGCAGCAACCGCAATTACACAGCTAGACCTTCCCAGGAAGGCAGAGCTCGACTTGGTCAACACCCATGTCTAATAACCATTCCTAAATCCCCAATCCAGCTATAGTTTTGCAGCACTTCCAGAACAATCAAAAGATATTTACCCAAGCCCTCGATTTAAGCTGGGTCCTAGAAAGAGTTTTGTTTAAAAAAAAAAGAGTAAAACAGCAAGAACTAACTCGAAGCTGAGTCGCTGCTTTCCCCGGGAGCAGCCCCGCGCCTGCTCGG